GGAGAGTGCCGTCGAGAGAGGCGAGGGGTTGGCCAGAAGAGGAGGAGAAGAGAGAGTACGAGGCAGAGATGGAAGGGGAGAGGGAGGGGAAGGAGATGGCCAGGAGTTGAGAGGAGATGGTAAGGAGCGTGTGAGGTGTATCGACGGAGGGATTTGAGAGAGACAAAGAAAAAGATCTATTTTGAGAAGGATTTGAAAGAGATGGGGGTACCATCTATCTTGAGATAGGGATTTGAGCGCGGAACCAAAAAACTTGGGCGGAATGAAATTTTTTTGAGGGGAACGGGTTTTAGTGTTTAATTTTTTTAAGTGGGGTAAGCATCCTAGACGGAAATTCCATCTAGGATGCATCATAGACGGAAATTTCGTCTAGGATGCTAGCCCCATTTAAAAAAATTAAAACACTAAAACTGTCTACTTTGCTATTATAGACGGAAAATTCTGTTTACGATGATGCATCCTACAAGGAATATTCTAGACGGAAAATTTTAGTCTAGAGTATTCTGTCTAGGATGTGAGATTTTCTACTGGTGTCCTCTATAATTTTAAAATATTTTCATCTCATCCTTTACTTATGTACTCACCGCATGAATTAGCAACTCATTTACATATGGGAATTTAGCCCATAAGAAACCTGATATCCATAAATTTAGATAAATAGATACTTATTGTCTGTTCTTCTAAAAAAGTATTTTTGGTTCCGCCACTAACAACGACAGTCCTAAAAGCATAAGGATAATAACAAACAACAAGTAGCTAATTGTAGTTTAAACTAATGGATTTTAACTAAAGAGATCTCTTTAATATAACTTAAAAAAATTTACTGACAAAAAGAAACCTTAAAAAGAAATTGTTAAATTTATTTTATCAATCCATTATCAATGAGACCAACATCAGAATAACCCTAAGACTTGATCTGGTAGGGGGTTTTGAGGAGGCAACATGAGATGAGGGGAGGTGCAACAGGGTTGAGGGATGAATATTTCTTTAAGCCTTTAGTTTGGTTGGTGAGGAGAGGAGATGAGATGCATGTTTTTGTAGTTCATTTTTTCTATCCTCTTAGGGGGTGTTTGGTTCACCCATTTTATATAAAAGTTTTGAGATAACACCTGACAATGACATTTTTGTAAATAATCGATTTTTGTAGATTTTCATAAACTATGTTTGGTTCAAAAAAATTATAGAAATGTTTTCTATAAAGTAGAAAAAATGGGGTATTTTATGGAAATCAACTTCCTCTCCAAATGAGAGGAAATTGTCGAGAAATCTGACACATATATTAAAAAATTATTAATTACACCAGTACCATTATCCATGTGATTTCCCATGGACATTGTTAGTAATCTATTTTTTGTAAAGTGATATTCAACCAAACAAAAGAAAAGAAAACAACATATTTTCTATAAAGTTAGTAACTTTTTTATAATTTGAACCAAACAAAGAAATAGCAAAAAGCAAGAAGTATGATACTATTTGAGTTCTATAAAATTTTCTTACAAATTTTATAGAAATATAAGGAAATCAAATTTTGAGCACATTTCTTTTTTGTTTTTTTTATAGAAATTTAACCAAACAGCCCCTTAAATTCTCCCGATTTGAAGAGATTCTTCTCTCTCTAACTTTTTTGTTCATTTTGTGATGTCCCCTCTCTCTGAGTATCTTTCCTTCACTCTACCTCCCCGTCTAAAAACTTTCTATCAAAGACAAATCTAATTTTTATTCATCTCCTCCCTTCACCTTCCCTCCTACCAAGCCAAGCCATTAAAATAATTCATATTCGTCAATTAAAACTCGATGGGCAATTACGATAGAATAACTGCGATAATGAATCTTCCCCTTTATAACAAGTGGTCCATGAACCAGGTGAAGTTCGAGTATTTTTTGTTTATTTTTTACTAGGTGGGTCTGAAATTGGCCCTTTTTTTTGGTTTATTTTTACTAGGTGAGTGGGAAATTGGCTCTTTTTTTGGCCTCTTTGTTTTTTTTTCCCTGCCTCTTTTTGTTTGTTTGCATTCCACATTCACGTGGTCGTGGCCTGCATCTAGAATCAAGCCCTTAGTGTGGCCACCACTGGCGCCGTGCTAATAATTTGGTCTAACAAAAGACTAAAGCTCCCAAATAACATGTAATAACCCCAAAAGTGCTAACTCATCTGTGGACCCAGTGGGACCCACTCTCGAATCTGTCGTGTCAAATGAACAATGGATAAGTTGGGTGTGGTCAGGACTGGGGTTCTATTGTCTGGTGAAACGTGTCCAAGATAGATTTTTCAGAAGTTGATGTTTGTACCGAAAATAATCATTCTCATTATATTAACATGGTATTGATTAATGATGGTTGCACAAATACAAAATTTTGATTGCGATCATACAATAATCTAATTATACAAAATTAATTTTTGCATTGACATAGTATTCTAATGGCATTTAAAGTCATTGCTAGCTCTGTCATTATATATTGATTGTAATGATTTTCTCTCTATTTGCAAGAGAGAGAACGCTATAGAATCTTTAATTTCCCTTTTCTTCTAGGTGGTTTTGATTGCATTCATACAATAATCTAATTATAAAAAATTGAATTTACATTGATATAGTATTATGATCGCATTAAAACTAATTGTTCTGCCATTATATAGGCTTTTTAATTTCCTTTTTCTTCTAAGTGGATTTGATCGCGTTTATACAATAGTCTAATTATGCAAAATTAATTTTGCATTGATATAGTATTTTGATCGCATTAAAAGTAATTGTCTGTCATTATCTATTGATCGTAATTATTTTCTCTATACTTAGGGGGTGTTTGGTTGCATTGTTTTTTAGAAATGTTTTCTCAAAAAGTACAAACAATGGCATTTCTGTAATTAAGAGTTTTCTATAGATTTCTACAAACTGTGTTTGGCTCAAAAAAGATTTACAGAAATGTTTTCTGTAAAGTATAGAAAAGTACCAAAATTTATAGAAATTGATTTCCTTCTAAAATGGGCGGAAATCTCTTGGAAATCTGACGCATTCATTATTTAAATAATAAAACTCATTAACACTTTTCTATAAAGTTCTCACTTTTCTATAAAGTTGGTGGTGTTTGGTTACATTTCTATAAATTATAGGAAATGTTGCTATTTTTCCAAAAATTATGAGTCGTTTTCTTGTTTTGAACCAAACAAGCACAATACAAAAAATAAGAAAATTTGTACTTTTTAACTTCTCAAAACTTTTCCTATAATTTTTTTTAAGAAATACGAGGAAATCAAATTTTGGATGGAAAACATTTCCTATAATTTATAGAAATGTAACCAAACACCCCCGAGCACTCTATAGGATTTTTTTTTTAAATTTCCTTTTTCTTCTAAGTGGATTTGATTGCGGTTCGTACAATAATCTAATTATACAAAATTAATTTTGCATTGATATAGTATTGTGATCGCTAAAAGTCATTGGTCTTAATTTCCTTTTCTTTCTAAGTGGATTTCGTCCTACTTTGGTCTGGACGTGATAAGGGGCAATTGTTGGCACGCACCTAATGGTTTCACTAACACTAAGGATTTTTTTTTTTTTTTTTAAAGAAGAAGATATTATTCAAAGTCTAGCTGTCATGAAGTATGTAGTTAATTTCTTTCATGGTGCTTTCTTGTCCAAAAAGACGTGTCATGGCAATTTTCTACAAAGGAGCTCAATTGCACGAATCTTTAAATTTAGTATATATCATGTCAATTGCACTGAACGGAAAAGATCCATCATTAATTATCATCTTCCTCTTTAAATTTAGTATCATGGCGTTAGATATCTTCATCACATCACTCCACGCAGAATCGATTAATTCTGCACGTATCTTTCCTTTTAGAGAACATATTACTCTCTTGTGACCTGTGAGTAAAAAATCATTAAAATAAAAACCCTTCGAATAAGAGAACAAATATGAACTGGTCATAGATTGCAATTGAATGCGTTGTCAGCCGTCAAAATAGACAAGCCACCGGAAGAATGTACAGGTTCTGAAATTATAAGGCCTTTATTAATTCATAGTTCTTAAAAGTTCCGTAAATGTAAGGCCTACGTCCACCTTAATGGCTGAGCCATTCAAATTTGGAGGAGAGAATTAATTAGGAGGAGGCTCTGATCTCAACTGCCTGTAAGTTGAGGAGGGGGAGGTTGAGGCATCACGCTCAAACACAACATTTCTTGAGCTTGAGCTCGCATAGACGTGTACAAAACCATTGTCTTAAAAGCAATCACTAAATTGCCTATTGAAAGTTGTTACTCGGTGTACTTGGTCTGCTGTGATATTTTATTGGCTACATGCATTAGAATGCACAAGCTCTCATGACACTTAGTTTGCGAGTGAGATGTTCTGAACCATATAAAATTATAAAAAGAAAATGAAATTACCAAACTACTGGTTATCTCCCTCTGCGTGACCAAGAGAACCACCCTTGCATCCTTTTCAACGTGGACGGTGTCTCTTAAAAGAATGGATATGTAGGAAGGATCTATAGATATTGAAGTGGATGTTAGGATATTTATACATGAGAATGGTCTCACGTTGAAAAGGATAAAAATAAATGATGATGTTCAAGCTTCCCCGGTGGTGCTTGAGTACGTACTTCAAACAAATGTATGAAAGCCGTTGGGTTGCAAGGAAAAAGGAAGTCTTTTAATATTATATGATATTTTACGATATTAATCCTAAAATCTTCAGTAGTTTGCAATAGCTATATCCAATTTGGAGCTATGCATGCCTTTTTGCTGATTTGCTCCGATTAATCATGCAGCGGTAACATGACTACTAAAATCCATAGAATCTTTTATCCTATGTGGATTTTCAACCGTATATGGGTTGGAAATTCGTGCCAAATCTACGTGCAAAATACAAAGCGGAAGACCGTATGCACAAAAATACTAAGCATGTAGAGAGCATGAAATCCACGTCAGGACCATCCTAATTAAATCTAACATGATCTCTATATTAAAGAGAGCATTCAAGAGTTAGGA